TGTGTGTGTACAGGTGTGTGAACCCCCCGCGGTCAAAGCCCCCGCGGCCGCCGCGGCGATCCTCGAACCCTCCACCTGCGGACAGGTACGGACAGGTGAGGCAACAGGTGAGCATGGACAGGTGAGCATGGACAGGTGTGTACAGGTGTGACTGTACAGGTGTGTGTGTACAGGTATGTCTGTACAAGTGTATTTTAAATGTCCCCAGGTGTGTATTTTAGTGTATCCAAGTGTGCCCAGGTGTGTATTTTACAGTACCCAGGTGTGCCCAGGTGTACCCAGGTGTACCCAGGTGTGTATTTTGCAGTACCCAGGTGTATCCAGGTGTACCCAGGTGTGTATTTTGCAGTACCCAGGTGTGTATTTTGCAGTACCCAGGTGTATCCAGGTGTGCCCAGGTGTGTATTTTGCAGTACCCAGGTGTGCCCAGGTGTACCCAGGTGTGCCCAGGTGTGTATTTTGCAGTACCCAGGTGTCCCCAGGTGTGCCCAGGTGTGTATTTTACAGTGCCCAGGTGTACCCAGGTGTGCCCAGGTGTGTATTTCGCAGTGCCCAGGTGTACCCAGGTGTACCCAGGTGTGCCCAGGTGTGTATTTTGCAGTGCCCAGGTGTACCCAGGTGTGCCCAGGTGTGCCCCGTCCTTACCCAGGTGCCCCCAGGCGTGTATTTTGCAGTACCCAGGTGTACCCAGGTGTGCCCAGGTGTACCCAGGTGTGTATTTGGCAGTGCCCAGGTGTACCCAGGTGTGCCCAGGTGTGCCCAGGTGTGTATTTTGCAGTACCCAGGTGTACCCAGGTGTGCCCAGGTGTGCCCCGTCCTTACCCAGGTGATTTCCTCCTCGGCCGCCGCCCCCCCCGGGGTATTTTCCGGCCCCGCCCCCGCCCAGGTGAGGCCCCCCGGGCCCCCCCTCGGGTTTGGGGGCCTTGCATTGGTTGCACTCGTTCCGCCACGAGAAGTTCATGTTCTCGCACGCCCTGTGACGTCAGCAATCGCGTCATCAGTGACGTCATCCCGCCACCGGTGACGTCACACACCCTCCACACCCCATCCCAGTTCCCAGTCCATCCCAGTCCCTTCCCCAGGTTCCCACACGCCCTGTGACGTCATCGTCACTGACGTCATCCCATCACTGGTGACGTCACACACCCGCCACACCCCTTCCCAGTATAACCCAGTCCAAACCAGTATAAACCAGTGTAACCCAGTCCAAACCAGTCTATCCCAGTATAACCCAGTCCATCCCAGTCTATCCCAGTCTATCCCAGTCCATCCCAGTATAACCCAGTCCATCCCAGTCCCATCCCAGTCCCTCCCAGTCCATCCCAGTCCATCCCAGTATATCCCAGTATATCCCAGTATGAACTCACGGGTTGGGGCATTTCCAGTCCCCCGCTCTCTGCTGGGCCCCTCCCCCTCCGGTGAAGCCCCCGCGGCCCCCGGAGCCCCCGGAGCCGAACCCGCCCCTGCCCAGGGGGCCTGGATTGGGGAGAAAAAACAGAATTTTGG